CGCCATGCTGCATTGGGCTTCTGTCTGCAGCGTCGGAGCTCAGGAATGCCCTGCGGGGCTGGGCCTCGGTAGGGGCCCTCCCGGCGCGTCCGCCCGCGCGCGCGCGCGCCCAGAAGCCAGAAGACGGGAAAACAAAGGAAGAAGGTGCCAGCCCCTCACGGGGCAGTGGGGCAAACACACACTTTTGGTCGGCGGGTCGGGAGCGGGCCCCTTCCGGCCAAGAGCTGCGGGTAGCCCTAATTAGGGAGACAGGGCGCGGGCAAGCACACACACACACACACGCACACGATGTAATTGCAGAGGTGGTGGTCCTCTCGCCGTTGCGCTTCCGGCGGGCCTCGCTTCAGAGTTACCCGAGGGGGGCGAGAAGAAGAATCCAAGTGGTCCCCGAGACGGCCACAGACGCCCTTAGCAGTTTTCCTAGGGGGCCCCCCAAGGGACCCTGTCAGTTATTCGTTCTGGCTCCTACGGGGCAGCGCCAACCAACGGTCCCCCCCTACGCCCGACCAGCCTATGACGACGACGACGCACGACCCACGACCGACGACGGCGACGATGCCTAAGTTATTGTGGGCTGCTCGGGCTGAGCCCCCCGCCCCACATTGACCGCTTCTCCCAACTCTACGTGCCAACGGTGCTGATCCACTTGTCACCTCGCGGCGTCTCGCCCAGGAAATGTGTCTCGAATGGCGTGACCGCAGTCCAGGACGTTCGGATCATTTTATTATTATTAAAAAAATAATATTCTTCTTCTTCTGGGAGCCCTAAGCCAATTTAGAATGCCTCGCCTTCGCACCAGAGAGTCTTGGCTTCGCTTCCCCACGCGCGAACCAGAATATGCAGTAATCCCAGCAACCGCATGCTCCTGACATGGCGTCGTCGACGCAAGATTGCGGAACCCGAGAACACCATTCTTGATCAGATGCTTTCGCAACACATCATGGGGGGAAGCTTCTGGATCGGCCGCTGGGGATGTGCCAAGCGTCACAAAGCCGAGCTGCTGGCAAACTCCGACAGGGCCAGCCTGACCGCTATCCCGCGTCAGCTGCACGGCGTCGTAGAAGACCTCCCGGGGGTGGGGGGGCGCGTGGTGCCCACGGCAGCCGGACACTGCTCATTTGGCAGCCCTCGCCCGGCACGCGGCGGCGCAGACGTGGCTCGCACGGGGCGGAGGGCGCACGCAGCAGAGCACACGAGCTGCGAACAAACCGCGCATTTGACGTGTTTTGTGATCAAAAAGGGCTCGCGGATGCCCGCGGCAAGTGACTACACACACGGGCGACCTCCCGGAGACGCCCAGGAAGGCCCAGACAGAGAAAGAGGGGCATGGAAGTCAGCAGGGAAAAAAACTGGCAGCGACAGACGTACGTGAGATAATTGCGCAATCAGAGATGTAGTGCGGCATGCGAGTGAAGTGGGCACTGCCAGGAATTGCAGGTGCACGGCGGGAATCAACGAAACAAGCAAGCCAACTGAACAAAGAGACATGACCATGACACACTCTGCACCATGTCATGGGAAAAGACGGACAGTGTTCATGACACGAAACAGCGAGACGGCTGCCGAACAATTCCCAAACGTATCAACCAACCCATTTGCGACAATCTGAGGGCAACCCTGGAGGCCCCTTTCCGCGGCCGACCTTTGCCACCCGAAAATCGACCAGAAACATGGATTCTTTCGATTTCCACGGTCTGGTGGCCGCATCTTACAAACGGAGAGCAAGACTCTGTAAGCTTTGTGCGGACTGACCTGGTAACATGATTTTCGTGGCCGAATTCTGTAGTGTGAGCGTCGTGACAACTGGGAACATGGATGCTGTACAAAATGCGACAACCACGTCCCTCTCACCACTCAATCCAGCACATCTCACCTCACCTCTCCACGATATTCAACGAGCGAGGTTGAGAACCTGTTCGGCGGCCGACTCGTGCGATCGGAGCTGGCAGAAAAGCGCCGGAGTCGGAATCAATCGTGACGGAAGCAACCATGATCTGTATTGAGTACTTGGCGAAGTAGATACAGACACATCAGCGGGAACACTCAACGAGACAGATGCTGAGTTTAGAGGGGGCAGTGAGAAGCACTGGCCGAGCGCAGGCCAAGGCAGATCACTCACGTACTGGAGTGGGAGCCTTGCGAGGGATCGGAGAGGGACACATACAGGAAAGGGGCAACGAGACAAGAGACGCATAGAAACAACAAGAGTCCAAGATATGAGACGCAAGGGTAAAACCGCGGTCACCAAACCAGGCAAATCATAATGGCCCGTGGGCCCCAAACGCTCTCTACCTTCCACTACCTAATGTTTGGCTCCCTACTTGTTCTCCCGAGCCCGTAAACTCTGTTACGCCACATGATGGGCCGCCTAGCTTGCGCCACGGAGAGGCGGTACCACGTGGCCTGCACCACACATGGCCTGCACCACAGTGCCTGCGTCGCGCGCAGCTTCTGCCGCGCAGCTCGCACACCCAGGGTGGAACGACTCACTGTGTGGAGAGTCCACGCTGGCGAGCGTCCCTGCGCCTCGTGGGCGCCCCGTGCGCTGGCCGGGTCAGCCGAGGTCTCGCCCTGTGGGCGGTCGCGGGCGCCCCGTGGGCGCCTCGTGCCCCCGCTGGGTCGGCCGAGGCTTCGCCCTGTGGGCGGCCGTGGGCACCCCGTGCCGCTTGCATGGCGTCGCTGGCGTGGTGCCCCTCTGCACGACCCTGCTTGCGCCGCGCAGCTCGCACAGCACAGCTTCCAAGACACGCCTGGCACCCCGCACGCCTTACATTTCCGCATGCCTGGCATCGCGTTGCTTGCACCACACAGCCTGCACCGCACATGTCCCGCACCGCGCTGCGCGCAGCACGCGTGGCCTGCGCCACGTGGCTTCTACACCAGGGGCGCAAGAACCCACTCTTTGGGGTCCACATGGGCAAACATATAATGCTTGAGTGCCCGTCCAAATTCCAAATTCTGTGCCTTCGCCACCGTGGAAGCGCGTGAGAACGACCGCGGCTCTTTCCATCGAAATTGAGCGAAACTGTGTATTGAACAGTTGTGATCATGCATTATGCTTGTCGGTCACGGCCTGCGTATAGGAACCATGGTGTGTGTGTGTGTGCCGTGGGCACGCGCTCGGTGGTAATCATCGTAGCGCAACCCGCTGGCGCCCTCGCTGAGTTGGGCCGACTGGCCGCGGAGTAAAAAGTGTGTGCGTGGGGCGCGGGGGCACCGGCAGAAGCAAAGACCGATGGGCGATTCATTACGAGAAGGCAACCGTCATGTACATGAAGAAGCCGCTCGCTGTACGCGAGCCGGCATGTAGCTCTCATTCAGCACAGAAGCACTGCCCGAATCAAGATGGCGTGAGTCTGTGACCAAAATGGCTGATGACACTGATTCCGACGCTTCACGTGTGGAGAACCGCATCTAAGACGTGTGTTTGTCTACAGAAGGGACAGAGGGCGCAGGGAGAGAGTCGCAGCATCTGGGGCAGAGGACCATCTTCAGAGCTAGTCTCAATCTCCGAGTGTTCATCGTCGAGCCGTCCAGCAAGAACTCGGCAAATTGATCATCGTCCTGGCACTCACTTGTTGTTTCTATTGCTGCTGTGCTTCTTGTGCTGGCTCCTCGGCAGCTGCCCCTGCACATGACACTCTTCCATTCTCTGCCCGCGCCAACACTGAACCGCGCCCCGATTGTCTCTTATACAAACTTCCTCAATGACCTCTCTCTCGCTGCGCGGCGAAATCGGAACCATGTGCCCTGATTTATCGGGTGTGAACAGCATATGCCAAGAGCTCGTGCACCCGTTGCAAAACGCCCGCTGGAACTTATTGCGAAAGAGGCACGCCAAGAACACAACAGCAGCAATGCCTCGGGAGAGACACAGCACCGAATGAGAAAAGCGCCCAATTGAGAAATTCCTGAGCCGCCAATGCTGTCATATTCGTTTTGAGTTCTGGAGACGCCTAAACCGACCCGCTTGGAGACAGAACCAGTTGGCCTACGCTACGAACTGCGGTGCCACGTGCTTCGTTCCGCCCCCACGTGTTGGACGCCAATGCCAGTGGCGGCCCCACGCGACATCGTTCGGTGCCGCGCGATGCCGCCCCCACGTGCTCGTAAGCAAGACTGGCAGCCCGCCGTCGTGAAATGCATTGCAACATGGTGTCGTCTCCATGCGCTCGATCAGGAACGACGGCCCAGAACCCTGCCGTGCAATGCTGCCCCCGTGCGCAAAAGAAAACGGCACGGCATCGGCGGCTCGCCAGCGTGCCGTGTGGTGCCGCGGGGTGCCTCCTTCTCCACATGCCCAGAGGCGGTATTGGTGGTCTGACGCGACGCCGTGTGGCCCCGTGGCGCCGCCTCCGCGTGTTCGGCATCGGCGGGATTAGGCGGCCCGACGGCGCGTGCCCTGAGGCGTCGCGTGGTGGCGCCCCCGCGCTGTAGAACGGGAGTCGGCGGCCCAGCGAGGGGGCGCCTGGTGCCACGTGATTCAGTCATCAGTCCCTCGTGATCGCGTCGGCATCGTGTCTATGAGCGATTATTCGCGGCAGCTCCAAGTTGAAATTTGCCACCCACAATGGATTTGAGCACGAGGGGACGAGTGCTGCCATGTATGCAGAAGGTGTTTGTGGCAGGATCCACCGAGATACGCAGGCCTCCTACGATCCCCAGAGCAAGGCACAACAGGCTCCCCTTTGAAGCGAAAAGGGCTCAATAGGGCCAGGCAGCGTGAAATGGTCACAATGAGCTTCTATGTTCCCTTACCTCTTTCCAGCAGGGTTTAGCATGACCCTGGTACAACTACCTCGATAACTGGTCTAGGGGTTGCCTTATTAGAAAAATGGCCCGAGAAAGGAAAACACAACTATACTCAGTACACCAAAATACGCCAATACTCTCAAATACTGCAAGACACCTCCATAATGCTGCCCCAGACTAATCCCGAAGCTTCAGAAGGACCTGGGTGAGCCCCCCCCCCCCCCCACAGCAATTCGGACTGCCCAACTCACTTGCCCCCTCCTCTGCGTGATGTCTTCGGGCTGGCTCGGGTTGCCCCCCAAACCCCAAGCAAGCGGCAACCGCGCATATTTTTGGGAAGAGACAGCCAATCAATAACACACGTCCAACACAAAACTGTAGGTCTGGCTTCCATGGCGGTGCAGATGTGTGTGTGTGTGTGTACGCAGGCCGGCCGTGGGCCGTCGCCCAGAAAGCATGCGCTCGAAGTCGCAAATAGACATGTTGCCGCGGTTTCATCCATGTGGTAAATCATGTCTAGATAACTCTCTCTATGCAGGGTGGAAGCAGCAAGCCATACATGATGGCAGAAAGTCGGCAGTCACGCAAACACATACGAACAGCACGTCCTCGAACGTCCGTGCAATCGCCACGGCAGATAATACGTTCTTCTGGCTCAGCAATGCCTTGCGGTGCACGTGAAATAACGAGGGCTGCCAAACAATCCCTTGGAAAGCTGCGCCCTTGACGAAGCAAGCGCCATACATAATTCATGGCCACTGCATCAGCAACACATCTGACATCAACTGTGACGCACTGGGTTCCCCAACTAGGCTTGCCTAACATGTTCTTAACATGGTCTAAGGAAAAAACGCTGTCTGGGTGTAATTGCCAGGCCAGTTAATCGTAACCGAGGCGCGGCTCTCGAAGATTCGCTGGCGCTGTCATTCTGTGCTTTTGCCGATGATGCGATATGCTGTGCTTTGCTCTGATATGCTATACCATGTGCTGATATCATATACCATGCTTGATCATGCCATGCTGTGTCATGCGGTGCAATGCTAAGGGTTGCACATCTATTCAATCTTATCCAATGCTTTGCTGTACCATGCTCTAGAATACTACGCTGTGACATGCAATGCTATACCATGGTATGTCAGGATGCCTTGTTACGCTATGCTATTCAATGCTGTGCGATTCTGACAAGTCGTGGCATGTCAGGGCGGTACTATGCTATGAAATTGGATGCTGCAAAATGTTTTGCATTGCATGGCCCCCAATGCGATGCACACCGTTGCATTGCACTGCGCAGGCGCGTCTGCGACAAACATAACATCATCAATGGAGTCGCACCAAACTCATGCATCACGATTGCTGGTCATTGTGCAGCAACTCGAATCCACTCCACCGTATCTGTCCTCAACTTCCGTTATCACCGCTGCTAACCTTCCGCGCCATGCATTCGCACATGGCGAGGGTAAAAACTCGAAATGCAACCATCACGCACTTAAGTGGAGGCCAGCCTGTGCAGGCGGCGGTATGTTGTACCGCTCCACGATGTCCCTCGCAACACTCTCAGTATATTCGTGCGGGGAGAAAAACCCTCGGCGCCGGCGGTTCTCAGAGACTCGAACACGGGGCACACAGTCATTTCCCTGCCCTCTGGGCCCCCTGCGGTCGGGAACTTCTGGGCAGCATGCCGCGACGGCGGCCCCAAGCGACGCGCCGTGCCCTGCGAGCTGATAAGCGTGCCGCTCCGCTCCGCGGGGCAGGAGGCTGGAGAGGCAAGTGATGAAGCAAGTGATTCGCGTGTCGCGCCGAAGCGTGCTGGGCCAGAGCCGGCGGAACGGTGCGCTGAGCCACAATATTCCTGCCCGTAGGCTCTCGACGCTGGCGGCTTACAGAGAGGCGAAAACGGAGAACACAACAGTTTCCAGAGCTCCTGCGCACCCTACACCTGGCCGAAGCATGCGCGTTCCCTGCGAACGCACAAACTCGAACACTCCGATGACGGCAGAACTCGGCGGAATTCTTCGCCCATGCCCGCATGTCGAGCATGACATGATATTCGGGCGAACAACAATAACAAACGTAATAATTCAACGAGGATCAGTCGGGAAATCTGGCCCCCAAAGCAGTCTTAGAGTGCTGGTGCGCATGTAAATAAGTGGCCGTGTGCATGCGGCGACTCCTCTTCTTCCGGGCAGCCTTGCCCTACTCCTCCTCCTCCTCCTCCTCCCCACACGCCTCCTCCTCCCATTCCTCTTCGCTTCCTCCTCCTTTTGCAACTTCTTCTCCTTCTCCTGCACCCCCGCCCTCCTCCTTCTCCGGTTCCTCCATAATGTGGTGAAACATGATCATATACAGCGGGCCAGGATATAGTGGAGCTGTGAAGAACAAGCAAGGTAAGTAGGGTAGGGCGCAACGAAGCCTAACACCATGTAACACATAATACAACACACTATAATGTAATAGCGGGGACATGCATCGGCCGAAAATCACAAATTGCGAAATTTCTGTCGTGCTATCCAAAACCGTGAATACCGTGCATCACCTCCTGTTTGGAGCCAACATTGGCAAATCTTGCCGACTTCCGTTTGCTTGCGCGACACGCGACCACTCAACCAAGATTTCGTGTGGAAATCAATCTCCAACGACGCCGAGGCATTACGAGACAGGGTGCCCAGGCACTGCATGCCCCTTTCAAGCAAGCGTCGAGCAACACCTGGGATGCAATTCAGATCGATGCTCACCCTGATTGGACAGAATGCAGATTATATTCGGTCTGGTCGCATGGCTTTCAGCCTCGACGATGTAGATGGGTCTCAAACCAAGATGCATGTAGCGATTGGTTGCTGGAGTTGAATTCAGCATGTCGTGCACTTCATCTTCTGCTACCTCTCCATCTCCCACCTGCACATCGTCACAACACTTCCACATGCCCTACCTGAGGTCATCCGCCAGCGTCGGTGACTCCATGGCCCTTCGGAGGCAGCCTCCGTCTTGTGGGCAAGCAGTCGGCCCGCATGTGCGACGTGAGCCGAACGTCACGCAGGGAGCAAGCGACGAAACTCACCAAATGAGTGCAGAATGGGCTCGTTGCCAGTTGGATGCAAAAAGCATGCACCACGCACCTCCCCATCCACTTCCACCCCCCCCCTCAACTCCTCCCTGTTCACTTCACGCCCGCTCCTCCTACACCAACTCCCCCATACTCCATCGGGTCAGTCCAGTAATGCTGACTTCTCCACTCGAAGTTCCCACGCTCTTTGCAACAATCGGATCGGTCGCTCCGCGCACGGCTGCTCTTTGCCAGGGGGCTGTTCTTTGTGGGCTATGCGGATGTGATGGGTTGTGAAGCCGTGCCGCGCTGCAGGCTGCGGTCGCAGGTTCTGCCAACTGCCCTATGTGCAGGTGCCTAGGTTAGCTGTCTGATGTTTTCGCTGTTCGTCGGTCTGTTCGTACTTGACGGTATACTTATGACACATGGATGTACCTGTTCATGCAAAGATGTACCTAGCTCTACCTCCGCGTATCTGAGCTTATGTATCCCAATCTGCCACATATCAACTTAGCCTGGCCTGGCTTACCACTCGTCGAACTTTCCGCGGTTGAGCTGGTTATGAATTTATTCAGCTCAGCTGAACTTAGTTGCGCTGATCGCCGCGACTTTCATTTCCCACAACACATCATAACACATCGTAGCACACCCTGAAACGGAGGCTTTGCTGATCATATCATAATATATGAGCTCAACTTTGCCTTCATTTGAACAGCTTAGCTCACCCTGATCTGCCAACGTACCTTCGGCACGTTCTGTCGTATTATACTGCTTGTCTGTTGCCTGGTAGGGCTTTTGAAATGCTTTATGAAGCCTCCCTCCCTCCTCGTCGCAACCAATCTCGAACATCCCTGTAGTGTCGCTCTCCAGCGCCCCAGCCTCCATGCGATTCCAAGAAAGCCAAAGACCGCCCGAAAACGGTCACAAAACGCCCCAATGTCGTCCAAAGATGGCCCAATGAGCCCCCACAAGCTAGACGAAGCAAGCGCACTTGAAAAAAAAACCATGGCATTTTTCGGCGGGCTTCTGAAACTTTCTCGGGCAACTTTCGGAGATCGGCAGAAATCCTCAAGACGGTCAGAGACGGCACCAAGAACGCCCAAAGAGCTCACATTTGAGCTTCCGGACGGCTCCAACGCAGGCAGAGACCGCCACAGAATGACCGAACGAGTTCCCAAATGCTGTAATAGCTCCCTACGATGCCCCTGGAGGCTGTAAGAAACCTCCAACAGACGTATGAAGAGGGCTCCAGCGAGGCCAGAAGAAGCGACAACCGTAGAACAACCAGTTGGGAATCAGTGATTGTTGCTTCCGTTAAGTCTCGGCTTCAGATCAACTCGTGAAGCCTTCAGAGAGCGCCAAGAAGTCCGCAACACGGTCGAAGACGGCCCCAGCAGTGTCCCAGAGCAGCCCAAGACTGCACATTTCAGCTTCCAAGGGATTCAAAATAGCCAACAGGCCCCCGAGAGGGCCCCAAAGGCCCTCAAAAAACCCCAAACATCACGTAGCAAGCGCCGGCCATAGGGAAGAAGAGGACGAACAAATAACGATGAGAACGAGACTGCAGACAAGAAGGGGATGTTCAAGATCAGCGACAACGCAGCCAATGCGCTGAACCAGAGCGGGTCTGAACCTCACCCTCCTTCCTGCTGCGCTGCTGAGCTGGCACGGTGACGGGGCTTGCTGTATGCAGTTGGATCGTAGTGTAGCTGCGCAGAGCGAAACGCATCCTGACCTAGCTTGGCATGGCTGATCTTTCGCTTTCGCTGTAGCATTGGCTTCGCATTGCACGTATGTGCTTGCACATCTCTTGAACCACCACAACAATTTCGCATTTCATGACTTAGCATGAGCTGGGCCTGTATCTGACGCGACTGGATCTGTGTTTAAACGTCTCCAGCCCAGTTTAGCTTTAGCGTAACATGCCACCGCGTGCTTCATCTGGGGTTACTCGCCTGAGCCTATACTGCCCTTCTCAACTTAGTATAACAAGTGTTTGCCAGTACCTGTTGTATTTTCAACTTAGCTCGACACCAGCCCAGTATGCCTTGACCTCGTATCGCCCTGCCGCAGCTCAGCTTTTCGAAATCTCGCTTCAACTGCACAAGTAAAGCGAGAACTCACCTTCCGCTGTATCCGTACTTGGGCTTGGCTTGCCACATCCGTATATCGGCTCACGTCGGCCAGCGTGCCCCCCTTGCACGTCGA